AGGGAATCTGGCACAGTGTACCCAAACCAGATATCTCTGCCACTCAACGCTTGACGTTTACCGGGTTTTCAGTTTGCCTGGAGGGTACCTGAGCAAAGATGTAGGATTAAATTCTGGCACCCAGAATTGGCAAGCCCCTACTTCCTCAGCCGCAGGGATGTCCACATCCTATATCCTGCTGGGGTCCTTTTCTTTTGTTGGTCTCAAGCCCCATGGGGGTTCCTCAAATAATAGGATGGGATCCACGGACTGGCCTGTGACATTCTCCAAATAAATGAATCACTCAGATGTCCAAACAAGCACCTCAGAGTAAACCATCTTTTGGGGCTCAGTGCTTCCAGAGAAGCCGAAGGGAGACTGAATGTTTGCATGTAACTGGAGTCCAAAACTGGCCGCCTGATCTGGGATGTTTGGAGAAACAAAATGACAGTCTCAGCTACACAGCAAAGTCCCCAAGTGTCAGGGACAAATCTATGTTCTGCATCTGGCATCAAGAGACAAAAACATCTTGTATGGGCCCAGAATCCAATCAGTGGCTCATTGATTACATTTGTGTTCCAGAGCAGGCAGTGTAGGATACACAGGAAGGGGTGGGGAATTTCTAACCGAATCTCAGTTTATGACTCCTGAGGTGTGGGTAATATTATCATGATCATTAACTGCTGAAGTCCAAAGAATAATACGGTGGAACCTTGGATTGCGAGTAGCTTGTTCTGTGAGTGTTCCGCAAGACGAGCAAACACCTCTAATAAATTTTAACTTGATAAACGAGCGATGTCTTGCGTTACAAGTAGTACGTGACGCCAAACTGACATTCCTGATCACAACTGGAGCCAATGGTTCTTGAAATTCACTTTGATATACGAGTCCTTTGGATTATAAGCATGTTCCCGGAACGAATTGTGCTCGCAAACCAAGGCTTTATAGTATTCCTGCCCCCAGATGTGCTGTTCTGGTTATCCAAATGAGAGGAGGTGGTAAAGTGGCTTTGCGGGGGGTCTTAACCTGAGTTCCAGGGATGAGTTTTGGTGGTATCCATGGAGCCATTTCTATAGGTTTGTGTGTGCACATTTTTATGGGGCAGAATCCATAGCTTTCATTAGAATCTCAAAGGGGTCCAAGACTCCCCCAAAGGTTAGGAAGCCTAAAGCATATAGAAGCCCAAAGAACAGTTGTGCAGTAATCGGCAAACCAGAATACCACAGGGAGCACTCACTCGCAACAGCCTTCTGTGCAGCCCACAGCTCTCAAGTGATGCTTCAAATCCTGAATCTCTCCTACAACCCTAGCTGGTCCAATAATATGGAACTGAAGCATATTCTTGGTATTCTCTGGGCTTTCCAATAAAAACAATAGAATGGAGCTTTGTGTTCCTAATTTTTAAAAGCAGCTGAGGCCGCCTGGGTAGCTCAGTTGGTTGAGCATCCGACTTCGGCTCAGGTCATGGTCTCACAGTTCATGGGTTTGAGCCCCACATCTGGCTTTGTGCTGACAGCATGGAGCCCGCTTTGGATTCTCTGTCTCCCTCTCTCTCTCTCTCAAAAATAAGTAAACATTAAAAAATTAAAAAAAAAATAAAAGCAGCTGAATGGAATATTTTCTATCACTCTCACTAAGAAAATAAAGTAGTACAGGCGCCTGGGCGGTTCAGTAGGTTAAGCGTCTGGCTCTTGATTTCTGCTCAGGTCATGATCCCAGGGTCGTGGGATCGAGCCCCGCATCAGGGCTCCTTGCTGAGTGTGGAGCCTGCTTGAGATTCTCTCTCTCTCTCCCTCTCACCCTCTCCCCCACTCTCAGTCAATCTCTCTCAAATAAATAAAGTAGCAAATTACTTTTGGCCTTCAGCTACTGGGTATGTGTGCCTGTATACCTGTGTGACCTTACTCCTGTATACCCTTCAGGGACTGTGCAGCCCGAGTGTGTGGATTTACAGCCACCTTCATGGTACCATTGTTACTGTCAGAGACTCAGATCCCCTTCCTCAACAGGACAGAACACTTAAGGGAGCCTTCCTGTGATGTCTGGGGCAACTCATAAAGATGGAGGAGCAGCGGCAGAATCACGCAACGCAAACCCAGTAGCTAGCCAAGAGAGACCAGGGAGAGAGGCCCTGCACGCTTCATGCCCACTATCCAGATGCCACCGAAGGGACATGGGCTCCACTTTTTTCAGGGAATATCATGCCTCCAGTCTGAAACCAAAAAAAGGTGTCTTGCTACCCCACATAGCGTTAAGAGTAAGTCAAGAAAAGTTTGCCTTTCTGTGTTCATAAACTGCTCCCAGAACTGAAGCACCAGGGCCTCTGGAATTAGAACTGGCAAAAACAGTACACTCAGAAGCAAATTAAAATAAGGTCCTGTAATCACAGGAGTACTGATGCATAGGGGCACTTGTACCCCAATGTTCATAGCAGCACTCTCAACAATAGCCAAATTATGGAAAGAGCCTAAATGTCCATCAACTGATGAATGGATAAAGAAATTGTGGTTTATATACACAATGGAATACTACGCGGCAATGAGAAAAAATGAAATATGGCCTTTTGTAGCAACGTGGATGGAACTGGAGAGTGTGATGCTAAGTGAAATAAGCCATACAGAGAAAGACAGATACCATATGGTTTCACTCTTATGTGGATCCTGAGAAACTTAACAGGAACCCATGGGGGAGGGGAAAGAAAAAAAAAAAAAAGAGGTTAGAGTGGGAGAGAGCCAAAGCATAAGAGACTGTTGAGAACTGAGAACAAACTGAGGGTTGATGGGGGGTGGGAGGGAGGAGAGGGTGGGTGATGGGTATTGAGGAGGGCACCTTTTGGGATGAGCACTGGGTGTTGTATGGAAACCAATTTGACAATAAATTTCATATATAAATTAAAAAAAAAAAAAAAAAAGGTCCTGTAAGCTTGGAGCCTGAGCCTGCTTCCGATTCTGTATCTCCCTCTCTCTCTGCCCCTCCCCGCTTGTGCACACTCACGCTCTCTCTCTCTCTCTCTCTCCCTCTCTCTCTCAAGAATAAACATTAAAGCAAATTATACAAAAATAAAAAAGAAATAAATAAAATAAGGTCTTGTCAGCCAACTGGCCATGGAATAAATCATGCCCTTGCTGGTGCGGCATCCAGGCCTACAGACCTGATGTACAGCCTAGACCCCTCACTGGAACTTTGAAGATACAAGCCCTCCAGCGAAGAAGTTGTCTTCCTCATGAAACTACAGGATATGTGACCACATGTGCCCTCTGAGGCCTGAGTGGGCATCTGAAAGGGAGCAAGACCCTGTATGTGTAGTCACACGCTCTAAGGCACTTGTTTACCTCAGGACCTTGGCCACAGATAGGCATTAAGAGTCACCACGGAAAAATAAAAATTAAAAAATAAAATTAAAAAAAAAAAGAGTCACCAAGGAAGATACAGCACAGATTTAAATGCATATACATTTAAATCACCCAAACAAGCGGGTGGACGGCAGACTACGGGTGCGGAAGGGCACATGGGTATGGATGAGGAGGCGTTTGGGAAATTAGTGTGTATGTGTGGCGGTACATTTGTATAATGGGGTGGGAGTATAAGGGGAGGTAGGCATGGAGAGAGTAGTAGAAATGTGTCTGTGTGTATATACAGGGTATGGACATGTGGGGTATGCTCAGGTGTGGGGGTGAGTACAGGCGTGTGTGCACAGATGGGTTTGGATGGCCAGGTGTGGGTATATGGATGTGTACGTATTTGTTGGGTAGGGTGGGGGAATATGTACATATGTACACTAGCTGTATGTATCCAGGGTATGTATGGGAAGAGTGTCTATGTATGTATGTGTATGTGAGAATGTGGGTACATGTGCTGGAGGCCTATGGGTATCTACATATGGTGGGGAGATACATAAGTGTAGTGTGCAGGATGCATACATAGATGTGGAAGCAAGGATAGGAGGTGTGTGTGTGTGTGTGTGTGTGTGTGTGTCGTATTTGTGTAAGCGTGGGGTGGGGAGGTATGGACGTGCAGGTATGGATGTATATGCATAGGGAGGGGGGAATGTTGGTTTGTATTCATGTGGGGAAGGTGAGGGACATATGTGTATGTGTGTGTTGGAGTAGGTGTGAAAGCGGGCTGTGCAGGGGGATACAGGGATATGTGTGTATGTGTGGAAGGAATATGTATATGCATTTAAGGTATACGTGTGTGGGGTTTATGTGTAGATGTGAATGTGCGGGGTGTGGGTCTTTGCATAGAGCATATACATGGGGGTAGAAGGAAGTGGGAGTGTGGGCATGTGTAGTGTGTATGAGTATAGATGTGGATATGGAGATGTGGAGGGAGAGATCTATGGGAATGGGGGGAGTGGGAGATAACTGTGTACGTATGGGGTATGGATGTAGAGTGTACAGAGGTATATGGGTATGAGGATATGTGTGTGTGGGAACACTGTATGTGTGGAGAGTATATGGAGTGGCAGGGGAATGTGTGTATGTGAGAGGGAGTTTGTAGGTGTGGATGTGGGGGGCCTATATGTTTACAGTTGTATGTGTGTATTTGTGGGGTACGTGAGAAATGATCATAAGCATGGAGGTATATGGCGGGAAGTGTGGATGTGTGAACATGTGAGGGTACGTGGGTGTGTGGATATGTGACTGGCTAGGAGGAATATCTCTGTATGTGTGGAGGTTTTAGGGATGTGGGCATGGGTGGGCAGGGATGAGGGAAGGACACCAGAATATTAATGGGCCCTGAAAACCTCAGCCAAGCAAAAGTCTGAAAGCAGAGACCTGGCTTGAGACTTAAGAGAAGGTGTGGAGGTTGCATCGGGCTCGCTGCTGTCAGCACAGAGCCCGCTTAAGATCCTCTGTCCCCCTCTCTCTGCCCCTTCCTCACTTGGGCTCTCTCAAAAATATATAAAAAACATGAAAATAAAAACAACAAAATACATTTTAAAAAAAGACAGAGAAGGTGTGGGGGTTGAATTGAATTTCCAGTGGCAGCTGAACATTCCAGGAGCTTCCAGCACTTGGGGAGGGGCCATGTGATAACAACATTTTGACTATGGGCATTAGCACCAGCTAGAGAACCAAGGCCAGCATTAAGTCCCCAGCATTCTTTCCTCCTTCCCTGAGAACCCAGGCTTCCTTCTAGGCACCTAGCAAGGAACCGTACCTAGCACCCCAACACGATAGTTGAGGGTGATGACGATGACGTTGCCATAACTGGCGAGGACGCTGCCATCAATCATGTTGCCCGTCCCTTCCATGTAAGAGCCTCCATGGATGTAGACCATGACGGGCTTAGCGCCACTGTCCCGGATGTCTGCAAGGAGAAGGGGTAAGACACAGGCTGGGTAGGATGCCCTTCCTCCCTCACCCCCGCCAGCCAGCCCTGGGGGGGTGTGGGTAGCAAAGCTATCCCAGGTGCCAGGACACCACCGCCAGCTCTGAGGGCAGGACTCGTGGGGACTGCTCAGCCTGGAGCTCAAGCATCAGCCAGAGACTTGGCCAGAGTTGGACTTGAGTGATGTTTGTAAAGACTCTGGTTTCAGCCTCACAGCTGAAGGCAGTCAGCCATGCCTGGTACATCTAGGCTCAGGTAGGCCATGGCTGGGCTCTGGGGCCGGGGAGCAGGAGGAAAAGGAAGGGCTGTTCTCTTAGGTGAATCGAGTGAGTCCCTGCCCTGGGCACCCAAGGGTCCTGGGACCTGACATGGCTTCAGAGAGCAGGGGCTGGGGAGCCCTGAAACCCCCAAGACTAGACCAGTTACATGGAAATACGGCCATTGGCAGCAGCTGGCCCCCCAGTGCAGACAGAGACAAGAGGGGTGGGAATAAGGGGTGGCACAGGGAGAGAACAAGGAAGGGTGTGGGTAAAAGGGGGTGAATGGCAGAGATGGGGTGGGGGGAACCTTACTGACATGGTTTCTCAGCCATGTGCTCATTTACCCCATTCTCCCCGGGCACCAGGCAGACTTAACTGGAAGCACAGGGGATGGGGAAGAGGAGAGGGCCGGAACTAAGAAGGAGAGAGACCCCCGCCCCCAGTCAGCATTAAGATGAAGGTGGAGCCTCCCCAGAGGCCATTCAAGGAGAGACCTTCAAGCCGCCTGCTCCTAAGTCCAGGCGGCACAGCGGCACTGGGGCTGGGCCATCTAGAGAAAGCCCTCCACCTGACCACCTCCACCTGCAACCTCTCAGTGTGTGAGCTGGACCAACAACACTCTTCCCCAGTGGCACGGCCCTACCAGCCACCAGTGGGGCTCCCCCTGAGCTGCTTGGCCCCCCCAAGGGTGGGGGGGCAGGGCCAGGGCAGGGAGGTGGAAGGGGATGTTCCCTGCTGCCAAGCAAACACACCCTGTTTTCCCAAGGAGGAAGGAAGACTGGTTCAACCATCACGCAAGGATCTCATGCCATCTACTAACCGGGCTGTGGTGTCCTGGCCTCAGCCTGGCACTGTAGCCCTCAGCCTTTCTGGCCCCGTCCTGAGCCTATCACAGCCCCTGGCCCTGAGGCCGAGTCTCTCTTTCTGGGAGATGGCCGGGGAGTTCTCGGTAGTGCTATGCTCCAGCCCCTTCGGTTGTCACTGCCTCACTCCTCAGTGCAACATCCTGCTGGGCCCCTCTCCCAGGAGCCAGTCTCTCTGTAACACACAGGGGCCTCCGCAATGAAACACAGGTATCTCCTCGCCATCCGGTTTCCTTCACGCCTCTCCTCGCCCTCCCTCAGCCCTGCTTTCTCTCCACTCTCCCTGCTGATCAGTAGGGGCAGGTGCCCATGAACCACAGAAGATGGGGGAGGAAGCTGTCTCTGGCAGTGGCTGCTTCTACTGGAGGACTGAGGACGGGGCAGGGGGCGGTAGGGGACCGGGGCGAGGAGGATGCCTTCCCCATGGCTCTGTTTGTGGTCCCCTGCTCCAGCCAGCCGTGTCCATCACCCTGGAACTCCCAGCGGCCAACCAGGCCAAAGATGGATGAACAGCCCAACAGCCTCGTAGAGGAACAAAAACACACCAACGGACGGACAGACAGACAGACGGGGCTTCTCCCCATCGAGAGGGGGAGGGGCTCTGTGCCATGCACCAGCCGCCGCACCCTGCAGCCCCCAAATACCTTCATCTTCATCCCCGTCATTATCCGCTAAGTCCTCGCCCTGTTTCTTAGCGCCGGATCCTGGGGACCAGACACGGGGAGACACAACAGCACAGAACAGAGAACAAAACAGAGAGAGAATTCAAAAACAGCATGACTGCAGTGTGGCCCAGCAAGCCAGCTCTGGGCTTGGGCCCAGGACAGGCAGGAGGGATGGCAAGAACTGAGGGAATGGGTGGGCTGAGGCCCAGACCTTCATCAGGAGGATGGTGTTGCAGGCCTCCCTGCACCTCCCTACCCCGCCTCCCTGCTCCCAACAGCCCATTTCAACCAACTACCTTCCCAGTTAGGAAGGAGGCAGCAGCCTGTGGGCCAGGGCACAGAGCCAGAGACCCACTCAGGGAAAGGATTTCCTCCGGGTGGGAGGGGCTGCGCACGTGTACGTAGGCAGGCTGAGCTGGAGAGCAGGGGCAGGCGCTGAGGGTGAGAGGTGGCGTCGCCAGCATGTTGGACATGGACATGAGCTATTCGGGCAGAGACGGGTACTGGGGCGCCCAGCCCTGAGCTACCTGGGCCCAGTGGGAAGGCTCAAGCTGGGCCTCAGCTGACCCTGATTCCCAGAGGAAAAAATTGGGAGATGAAGCTTTCCCTCTGGTCTTCCTCATTGGGGCCCCCTGCTCTGGCTAATGGCAAATGGGGTTCCTGCTCAGAGGAACCAGGCCTAAGAGCAGTAACTGCTGCTTTGAGATCTAGAGAGAGCCAGAGAGGGAGGGAGGGAAAGAAGGAAAAGGGAGAAGGAAAAAGGGACGAGAGAGAGAGAGAGAGAGAGAGAGAGAGAGATAGGAATAATGGTAATAGCTCCTACCATCTACTGAATATTTACCATGTGTCAGACACTCTACTTCTGCCATATGGTTTGATCCTTACACCCCAATGAGGTAGGCACTGTCTCTATTCCTGTTTCACTGATGGGGAAACTGAGGTTCAGAGAGGTAAAGTGACTTGCTCAAGATCACATAGCTAGGAAGTGCTAGAGGTCAGATTCAAACCCAGGTCTACTTGACTCCCAAGCCCATGGTCTTTCCACTGCACCATGCCACCTTTCCAGGACGGGGTTGGTGGGGGGTGGGGGGAAATGGAAGGAAAACATCAGTGAGAAAGAGGTGGAGCATGGAGGGGAGGGGAGAGAAGGGAAGGAGAGAAAAGAAGGGACCGGAGGAGAGAAGAGAGACATTTAGGACCTGTGGGTAAGCTGGCACCAACTCTCCTTCCTGTTCTAAGTTGATGAGAGGTGCATCTTGAGCGTGGCTGTGGAGAAAGAGGACCTACTGCCTGGAAGCTGGTCAGAGTAGGGAGACTGAGGTCATTCTGCCAGCACCCCAGGGCTTACCCTCTTGTCTATGACACCAGATGCTCTCAGCCTGGAGGCAGCAAATAGCCCTCTTTCTCAGCTGGTCCGGGCTCTGGTGACTGAATTCCCTCACAGCTATTAATCAAAACAGGAACCGCCCTCATATTACAAAATGGCTAGGGCAAGAGCCCGGCCCCGAGGGGCAGAAACTGCCTCCGGCTTCCCGAACGTTCAGTGGCACCTACCGTCTTAACACCTGCCAGTTACTGCCCTCAGAAACCCTGTGGGGCACGGGACAGCATCATCCACGCAATGCACAGAACCCCACACGGAAAGGAAGTCCTCATCCCTAAACGTGAATTCCCTCCAGCTTGATGGGGGTGAAAGTGGGGGGATGGGGCAGGTCTTCCCCCTGGAAATCCCTTACTTCCTGTGGGCACTGACTTAGAAGGTGAGTCCGCTTTGCCCCCACCTCCTCAGCACCCCCAGCCCCCACCCCCCCCCCAAGTGTCCCTGGGTTGCCGCATGGTCCCAGCCTCCTCTGCACAGATGCCTTTGCTCCTTCAGCTTAGCACTTGCTGAGCAACTCCTTGTTGCCATGGCGATCACCCGGGCCAGCCCGACCACCATACCCCGTCCCAACACTGTGCTGCTGCAGGATCCCAACCAGGCCAGTCCTGCCCACCCTACGCACACCACGATCCTAATGACTTCTGCGGGCGTATCTCCCCCAAGAAGCAGGGACTGTAATTCCGTTCCAAATGGGCCACCAGGCCCCAGATAAGGAACTGATCTAAGCAAGGAAAATGACCAAATGCCCTCCCCCACACTGTCTGGAACTCACTTCCCAGCTTGGCCTGTGGGGCTTAGCTAAACCAGCTGAGTTCCAATACCCGGATAGGAGCTTCTTTGGAGTAGTGGTGAGGCCTTTACTTATTTCTAAATCTTTCCTCTGCCTCATATCCCTCCACAGCCCCACAGTGCCCAGCTCGCGGGCATGGCCCACAGTCAACAATCATGATAGGGAAATGTTTGCATTTGAGTGGAGCTGCCAGGGAGTGCTATAGCCAAACTCTCAGGACCGGACAGCCCTGGGCTCTCGCTGGCACCCCAGGGAGATCATTCCTCCTAGGAAATGGTTATCGTGAATGTCATTACCGTCCTCTCGCCCACCACCGCCCCTGGAAGTAACCCATGAAGAGCTGGTTTACAAGACCCTCTTCCGGAATTCATTCACAAGCCAACGGAATGTTAAGGCCACAATGGTCCCCTATGCCCTCCTTCACGCCCCCCTCCCCGCAGAGGCAGATGCAGAGGCTCTGACGGGGGAAAAGTCGTGCCTGAAGTCTCTCACTGTGAGTTAGCAGAAGAGCTGCGACTCAGTCAGGCTTTGTGGGTCACAGACCTGTAGTCTTTTTTGCAGCACCGTGAATGCTCCTTCCTTTGTGCAAAGAAGCGTCTACTGATGGCCTAGTGCGTGTGAGGTCCTGGGCAGGGTGTGGGGATGTAGTGGAGCACTATCCCAGAGCAGCAGGCCCGCTCGGTGCATCAAGAGCGCCTGGAGAACACGCTCAGCATGTGGCTCAGCATGTGGCTTCCCGGAATCTGCCCCTGGAGACACCTCCTCAGCAGGGGAGCATCTGGGCCGAAGGAATCCTGCCGGCCCCACTCAGGGAAACCCTGCCCTAGGATTTCAAAGGAAAACAGAATCCAAGCTTGCCAACAGGTTGTACGGAGCAGGCTGTGATCTTCCACCTGTTCCTTAAGTTGTTCCCGGTGCCAATTTGGCCCAGCTCATCCATATTTCACCATTTTTTCCAGAGGCAAGGAGGTGAAAATGAGCAGATGGGAGTTGCCTTGCGTTCTACGGTGGAAAGAACACTGCCCCAAGGGTCAAGAGACCCAGGTTTGGGTCGCAGCTCCGCCACAGACCGGCAACAGGGCCTCGAGCAGCAGCAAGTCACTCCCCTGGGCCCGTTTCCTCATCCGTAAAATTGGGAAACTTATTCCTGCCTTAGAAGCTTCCGGAAACGTGGGGAGGATTTTATGAGCTAAGCATGAAAGCGCTTTGCGGAAAACAAGACATGGTAAACGGACAGGAAAGATCCTTGACCCAGGGGGACCAAATTCCTCCCGAGCAAGAGGGTAAATTTAAAATTCAGGATCTCATGCCTCCTTCAGAGTCCTTAGTTCCCAGGGACCCCCATCGTCTGCCACCAGACTAGCCAGGGTCAGTCAGCCACGCTTCTGGCCACGCTTCTGGCCAGACGTGGTGGCAGGACAACTTTGGTCTAAACTTCAGGGTCAGAGAGCTGAGTCTAGACTTTGGACCCAGGAAAAAGCACGGAGGGATGAGTTGGTGGCTCCCCAGCCAGGAAGAGAGCAGGGTCCCTGGCTCCTCTCAAATGCCTAGAGTTTCCCCCGAGGTGGAACTACCAGGTTCTGTCTTTGGCACATGCACTAAGGCAGAACTTGGGGCGGGGGGGGGGGGGCCCGGCAGAAATGGGGTTGCTGCTTCTGCTCTGAACCTGCCTTAGGCCACCAAATCCTCCCTGAAAAGCAGCCAGGGCCCTTGGATAAGGTAGAGCTTATGCCTGCTCACCGACCGCCCCCTGAGCCTGGGCTACTTGAAGGAAGGCTGGGTCTTCAGGGGCAAGGGCAGGTGGGCAGGCAGCCCTCCCTCTCTCTCTCTCTCCCTCCCCGCCGGCTCGCTACCTACCTCCTTTCCTACAAATTTTCTTGTTGGGCTTTCGGGCGCATTCCTTGGAAATCCGCTTTACTGTAAAATGAATAAAAAACTAAAAAATAACAGGAGGCCTCTGCCCAGGGGCATGCACCCCCCACCCACCCCCAGGCTCCAAGAGCTGCTCTGCGGGCGGCACATGGCAGAGAGCCTGTCCGCCATCTCCTTGTTTCTGTCACTTACCTTAGTGTGACCCCCGCGGGAGGAGGCATCGGCTAGCCAAAGAGGAGGCACCTAAGCAATGCCCACCAGGCTTGCCCCCCGCCCCCCACACGCACCCAGCTCCCTTGGCCACACACACCTACCACCTTTCAAAGCAGGCGGAATGGCAACAGGGGGGCCTGGTGGAGCCAGCATCCTCCCGCGGGCAGCTGCCAACAGTGACCCATACTCCCCCGGGGAACCCCCATCCAGCACTCTGGCCCTAGATCTGTCAAAGCTCTCAGGCCTGGCCAGGCCCCTCCTGGTAACAGTGTCACTCACACATGGGAGCTCAGACAATGCTGGGAGAGGGAAGAACAGGGAGGAGGAAGGGGAAGGCCGAGCAGAGTGATGGTTAGAAGCATTTTCACAGACAGACAGATGCATGCTGCAGGGCACACGACCACATGCGAGCCACAAACACAACAGGGCAGGTTGGAGGCGGGGAGGGCACAGTGCCTGGCCACAGCACTCACCATCCTCCGTGGGCACATAGACATTCAGGTAGAGGCAGTCTTCATTGGGCTCCTGGATGTAAGTAGCGACAATATCCAGGTTGGCAGTGAACCAGACGGGCAGCATGACTTCGGGCACAGCCGTGTGGATGTTCTGGGGGCACACTGGGGGAAAGTGCGTGGCGTTCCGGATGCCCGACCAGGATGGGGGTGGCTCGGGGGGCAGGAAACGTTTCTCGCCGATGGGGGGAGCTGCGTAGGGCACCCCCAGGTATTGGTCCACAGGCCCCAGGATCTCACTGGGCAATGGTACCCGGGCACCCCTTAGCTTCCCAAAGTGAGTATTGACTGTGGGCGCTGGGGCCTGGGTACTGGCCCTCAGCACCAAGCTGAGGAACCACAGGGTGAGGCACAGACTCCGGCCAACGGTGGACTTGGGGCTCAGGGACAGCGAGGGCGGGCCAAGCCGCAGCCACATGTTCCGGGCAGGGGGACTGGCAGGAAAGGCAGACTCCAGGGTCACAGCATCAGCCCCATAGGCAGCCCCTTCATGGCCACACTGACTTGAACCTCAAGACTGAGCTCTCGAGGGACACCTACAGGTGCCCCGCAATGCAGAGAGGTCGTCCAAGCACCACAGCTTCACAAAGGGGACTCCCTCAGGGCCAGACAGGCCTGTGGAAAGAGGGAAGCATGCGTCATCCAAGATGGTCAGGGAGGGCTACGGAGCCTAGGAGCCTAGGAGCCTAGATGGGTCTTTGGGGCCCTGCTGGGCTCGGGCTGCTCTCCTACAGTTAGGAGAGCGCTCCCGTGCCAGGGCTTCGAGGGACCCACGGATGATCTCCACTGCTGGTCAGAACCAGTCTAGGTGCCTGGCATGGTTGGAAAATCCTAGGGAACTGGCACGGTGACAGTTGTTGCCACTGCAAAGCTCCTAGTCCCCAACTCTGACTCCTCAGCTGATGGAGCTCATCGGGGTCAGCTGGAGCCAGAGCAGCATGTGGGAGCAGGGGGTGGGGATGACTGGACATGGAGCCCAGGTTCCAGCATGCCACAAGTGAACACCGAACTCTCTAGACCCCCGGCCCCAGGAACCCCACACGGGGACCTCCCACATGAGCAGAGGGTAGGATTGTGAACCTCACTCTGGGGTTCTGGAAAAGCAGCATATAGGCAAAAGGTCCCACATAGAGACCTCCTCACCCTCAACCAGGGCAAGGGGCAGGATAGCCACTCACCAGAGTCCCCAGACCCTCCTGCGCCCCTCCTGTACATTTCTCTTCAGCCCTCACTGCTCCCAAAGTCTTAAGCCTTGGTCCTTTCTGTCGGCTATCTCTAATTCACACTGAGTGCCAGAACTGAGGCAGAAACCGCTCTGCCTAGCACCCCAGGCATTGTTGATGCTCAGCCAGTGTAAAATAAACAACGGAGTGTGGGGGACACACACTCAGAGCCTCATGGAAATAAACTCACAAAGACTCAAAGAGGGAGTGAGAGAGACCAAGCCAGGATCACAAACACTGCGATATTCACTCACAGAGACATATATTCCAAACCCACAGAGATCCCCTCATATAGTCCCACATTCTGAGACAGAGAGCCTCACAGAGCCAGAGAATCACAGAGAAATACATTCAGAAACACACACAGAGACTTACTGAAGCAGAATCACACACACCACATAGGTAAATATCCAGAGACATACACGGCATAATGGTGACACATAGGTGGAGACAGAAACAGAAATACAGCACACTCAAGATATACGGGCTTTCTGACACACAGTTATACAGTCAACACATAAACACAGGCACACACAGACACTGCTGCATGGACACACGCACACACACACACTTTAGTTTTCCCTATTTCTGCCGCCTTCCCAGATTGCCGGCCTGCTCCTTTAAGAACTGGCTGAAGGGGTGGGGGAGGGGAGGGAGATTGGGAACGCCCGGGAATCGGCTACCAAGAGAGGGGAATGAGAATGTGTGTGTGTGTGTGTGTGTGTGTGTGTGTGTGTGTGTGTGTGAGAGAGAGAGAGAGAGAGAGAGAGAGAGAGAGAGAGAGGCAGAGAGACAGAGACAGAGACAGAGAGAGCGGAAGGGAGAAGGAAGGAGAGGGAGGGAGAGGGAAGGAGAGGGAGGGAGACAGAGAGCGAGCTAGAGAGAGAGAGAGAGAGAGAGAAGGAGAAAGAGAGGGAGGGAAGAAGGAGGAGGAGGAGGAGGGAGGGCGGGCAAAGCAACTGAAGGGGTGGAGGCTCAGAGGAAATGGGGAGCAAAGTATGGGGGTTAGATCCCAGACACTGCCCAGAATGCACCCGGGTTGGGGGGAGGAGGAGAAAGGGAAGGAAGGGGTAGGAGTAGGGAGGTGGGGCAGGGGGGAGTGGGTGTGTGTGTGTGTGTGTGTATGGGGGGGGGAATAGTCCGCAGCTGAGTTCACACAATCCCCCCATTCACCGTCTCCATGGCAACTCTGGGGCACAGACCGCTCATTCACACGGCTTCCCCGCCAGCAACCCCCCCACACCATTAACCTCCTCGGTGCCGCCCCTCCCCACAAATTCCATTAACCCTTTCAGGATGCTTTCCCCAGTAACCCTTCAGTGCCAAATGCCAGTCCCCCTAGAGTCAATTCCCTGCAGCCCCTCCCCCGCGAACACCTAGACAAATCCACCGACCCCCAAACGCCCTCTGTACCCTAGGACCCGCTCTGAGTCCCTAAGGCCAAGATCTCCATCCTGGCCCAACTTGCAGTTTGGGAGAAGATAAGGGGAGGAGGCAATGCTGGGGATTAGAGTGGCATCTGGGGTACTTTTGGGGCTGGAGCAGTATTGGGCGAGGGGCATTGTGCAGGAATGGACTGGTATTGAGAACTGCAGTATTGGGGGCTACGCGGTTTGGGAATGGTATTGGGGGACAGAGCTGCATCGGAATGGGGGAGGATAGGATAAAGGCCTGGGGGGGGGAGGGGGGCTGCAGAGAGTGGGGGAGGGAGCCTGGCTGTGAGATGCTATGATGGAAGAGGGATGGGGCTGCACTGCGGGGGAGGGGGGACTGGCAATGTGCAATACAGGAATAGGGCTGGGGGCCCTTAGTAGGGGTATTTTGAGGAGCATGCGGCCAGGCTGTGGAAATAAAGGTACCACGGGTGGTAGGATGATAGGGATGCGGGATTCAAGGAGGAGGTGGAGGAGAGAAGCGGAGGGGGGTTGGATTGGAGGGTCATGGGTGCCGATGGAGAACATGGGGTTGAGAAGGATGGGGAACACTGGCTGGGGAGTGGAGAAGCCCGGGATTGGGAGGGGATAGGATCGGGTCAAGGTATGGGCAGCTAGAGGATGAGAGACCGGGGCAGGCGGCCTCACCTGTTCCCCGGGCTGTTGCGGGCGACTGAATCGGGCCGCGGACCACCCATATCGCCTCCAGGCCAAGGGCTCCGCACCTGAATCCCCGAGATCTGCTCTCCGGCAGCCTGGCTGCTGTGCCCGCGCACCGAGGGGGCGCGCTGCGCGTGCCCGGACACGGGGGGGCGCGGTCCCTGCCATTAACTCCTTTTGTGCCAGAGATGGCTCAAGTCCTGGGGCATGGCCCGATTCCTCCTTTGCTCAAGCACGCTCTGCTCACCCTCTCTCCCTCTCACACGCACACCTCTCATTTCAAGACAGGTGATCATCCAGGGCAGCTAGCTCAAACTTTACCTGCAACCTTGAGACAAAGGGAGAAACTGAGGCACTGTCTGCAGGAGCCCCCAGTCGTGCTCTACAAAAGACAAGCCTCCACCTGGCTCAGCATCCGTCGCCTCTTCCCTCCTCAGCACCAGCGCAACTCTAGCAGCAACCAGCGGAGGGTGGGGGCACTTTGCTCTCATCCTGTCACTCTCTCAAAGGTCAATGTTGTTCCTTCCTGCTGCTTCTGCTGGAGCACGTCAGACAGAGACCAGCAGCCTGCCACTTGTCCCACCACTGGGTCTCTCCCCTCCAGATCCGGCTCTCTTTGGGTCTCAGGGTTGGGTTTCTGTATGCGTAGTGCACCTGTCCAGTTTGTTTAGCCCCCACCCCCCACCCCAAGTCCCTCCGAGTGTCCCTTATTCCAGCTAAGCCCCTAACCCTGTAGTTCCTCAGAATGTTCACGGCACGATAGAATAGATTGGAAGAAAGCCCTGGCCAGGTCTGCCTTGACCCTGCCGGGGAGTTCCATTCCTTGTGCGCACAACTCTTTAACTCAGTAAGTGCCATGTGAGCAAGGGCATTGTGGACCTCAAAGTGGGATTTTACTTTATTGTTTTATTTTTTAGAGCTTGGGTATTGACTGGTGCTCCTGGTTTTGCCAGCACACTTGACACTTCCCAGTGACCCAGTGCAACTATGGCTTGGATGTTACCCTCAAGTCGTCAAATCATCTGGTACCACCCATCCACGAGGCTGAGGCTGGTCCTCTTCCAGCCCCAGCTGCGCACACCAGAAGACCCCTTTGTAGTAAGCCATTTGGCTCTCCTGAATAGCCTTAGATCTAGGGCCCCAAACCTGAAGGCAAAGGGGTTGAGAATGACCCTGCCACAGTTCCAAATGTGACTCTGGAGCAACAGTTTTGGGTTTTCTCTACAGTAACAAGGGAGTAAGCAACAGTCACCCTGGGAAACTGCCAAGGTGGGTCACTGGAAAAACAAACAGTTCCAGCAACAGAGCAGAGAGAGGAAAGGGTCCTTCCTGTTACTGGGTCTCTCTTCCTCCTATAACCACACCAACCTTCAACCACCAATTCCATGGGGACACTTGCCAACTGAGGGCAAGTCTTCATCCCAGAAATGGAATTCTCAGGAAAGTGCTCCGTCTAGGATACTGCTTGGTGCCCAACAGGGAGCGCACAAGGTGGCAACAAGTGTAGGCAGTGTCTGTCACACCCTCCACCCTGAAGCTTGTGGGATGGGTGGAAGAAGAATCAGGTTCCACCAATTCCTACCCCCCCACACACCCCCCCCACTGGCCTTCCCCCATCCCAGTGGTATATCTCTCATAGAGAGAAGCTATAGAGAACCTGCAACACCTCACTGAGAAGGTAAGCTGCCCTTCTTAAGAAACTAAAGGCCCTTGGGGCACCTGGGTGGCTCAGCTGGTTAAGCATGGTTAAGAATCTGACTTAGGCTCAGGTCATGATCTCGCAGTTCCCGAGTTCAAGCCCCCAAGTCAGGCTCTACACTGACACGGAGTCTGCTTCCGAGCCTCTATCTCCCCCTCTCTCTGCCCCTCCCCTGCTTGCGTTCTCTCGCAAAAATAAACAAACATTAAAAAAAGGAAAAGAAAAAAACCTCAGGGCCCAAACCTATATAATATGTTGCCAGGCTGGAGAAGGAAGGAGAGAGTAGCAATCCAATTAGAATCAAGGAATTTAGGGGATAGACGGCAAACAGGGGACTTGATCTGAACGGAACAGAGGCTCCGACTGGTTAGTCCAGTCCCCAGCACTCTCCCGAGAGCCCGCCCTTACTGGACATGCAGAACTCACACACTCCCTTTGCAAAGAAGCTCTGTGTATTGGGTGCAACAGCTCTGGGGTCTCTATATAAATAATATACAAAACCCAACAGCTCAATGCCTCACGTTAACAAAAATACTAAAAACTTATTAAAAATGGAGCCTGAGGGAAGAGCCCCAACCACTACTGGTGCTAGCCCCAGACGGGGATTGGGAATTGAGAGGAAAGGGTGGGGCCACATCCAGTGCACAAGCGGTTCTTCCAGGTGGCTCAGTAGCGTCCAAATATGTTGGTACTGGGCTGTGGCTGGGTATCTGTGAAAAATCAGATTATCAGGGGTGGGAGACCAAGCAGGGATGTGGGTATGCACGAGGAAAGCTACTCAGGTACCAAGGGAAGGGATGGGACGCCATGCATCCCCCCACAACCTGGGCCTGAAGCATTCAGCTCGGCTCCTCCCCACATCCTCCTTCCCCCCTCCCCCCCTCCCCCCCATTCAGTCCCCTGGGGGGGGGGGCTCTCTTCGGGGAGGAAAGCAGGCTTACTGGAGAGCTGTTGTTGGAGTTGCCTGACCAAAGCTGCTGTCTGTTGCTGTTGCTGTGTCTGCTGAAGCCCCTGGCGCTGGAACTGAGGAGGAAACGAGGAGTGGAAGATTGAACTTGAACTTTCTGTGTCCTTCCCCATCTCCTGACCCCCTTTTTGGAGCACTAGGCCTTTGTCTCCCACCTCTAACCCTCTGAACACTGTTCCCATCCCAGTTCACTGGCTGTGTGCCCAACCTGGGCAGCTGTCCCTGAGCCAGGGGTCGTAGTCCAGCAGCTACCTGGGGCTGGGACTGGGGCTGGGGCTGGGGAGGGGCCGCCTGCTGCTGCTGCTGCTGTTGCTGCTGTTGCTGCTGCTGTTGCTGCTGCTGCTGCTGTTGCTGCTGCTGCTGCTGCTGCTGCTGTTGCTGCTGCTGCTGTGAAGACAAGAGATACATCTAAGGGGAGCAAAGGAGCTGAGCCCCAGAAGCGGCAGCAGGGAGGGGACCCGGGGCCACTGCCCTCCCTCCTCCCACCAGACAACTCCCAAATCTCTCCCACCAGGAACCCCGGAAAACAGAAGGGGGAGGGGAGGAAAGCGACTCCTTAGGCCCCTGCCGCTTGCCACAGCCACTCTACCAGAAGGAATGACCTGGAGGGGCTTGACCTGGAGGCGCTTGTGGCCTCTTCCCCTCCTGAGGCTCTTAGGGCCCAGCTGCCATCCCAGGGTCTTACCCGCAGGATCTGCTGCTGCTGCTGCTGCCGGATGTGGTACTGCTGCTGCTGCTGCTGCTGCTGCTGCTGCTGCTGTTGCTGCTGCTGCTGCTGCTGCTGCTGCTGCTGCTGCTGTTGCTGCTGCTGCTCAGGCAGGATGGAAGCCGATCGGACGCCGGCCTGGACGCCCTGCGCGCCCAGCGGTGTCATGGTACCTATCATGGGTGTCTGCTGCAGGGTCTGGTGTGAAAACCTGCAAAGACCAGTGGTCCAAAGGTCAAGGCACTGGAGGGGGGTAGGGACATAGGAGTAGAAGTCGAAGTCCTGGGTCCCTGAACGGAAAGAAACATCAACAAGTCATTCCATTCATTTCTCCTGTCACTAACCAGAAGGACCCCTTGGGTTCGGACAGATTTCGAGGTTGGGGAATAAGGGGCAAAGACAACACCCCATTTTAGTGCCTCATAACCTCCACAGTTAAGAATCTTCCAATCCTGTTTTAGCTGTTTTTCTCTTACAGAAACGAAAACCAGCCTCAGCACAAGATAGGCATTCTATAAACACCCACTGAGGTGGTTTCTGTTGCTGTTGATGGTGGTCCACCGATAACGTTCCAGACTATGAAAGATAGGAGTTCTACCGTTCCCGTGCCTTCCCATGTACATCACTGCAACAGGCTACCTACCAGCTGGGCCCCCTTGTCTCTGGTCTTCCTTCGCCTTCCCTATGCATCCTATCCCTGCATCCTATGTTAATCTGTCAACACACCAACACACCATATGGCTTTCCTGATCAAAAGAGCTCTTGGTGGGACTGTGTCTCAAGTCTGTATCGGGCACCCAAGGCCCCATACCAGCCTGCCCATCCCTGGCCTGTCTCCTGCTACTGCCCCAGCATGAATTTTACACTCTATCCGAGCTCTTCTTCCTATCCTCCCAGCCACCCCCCTCACTCTGGTTCCTATGTCTCTGTTCATGCTATGTCCTCTACGTGGACTCCACTTCCCGATCCTCCACTCAACAAATCCAAATCACAGCGATCCGTCAAAAGCCAACTCAAGGGGAGCTTGGGTGGCTTAGTCGGTCCAGCATCTGACTTTGGCTCAGGTCGTGATCTCATGGCTCGTGAGTTTGAGCCCCGCTGCTTGGGATTCTCTCTCTTCCCCTCTCTCTCCCCCTCCCCTGCTCTCTCTCTCAAAAAGAAATAAACTAAAAAACAAAAAAAGGCCAACTCAGATCTAACCCCCTTAGTGAAACTCTCTGATGACTCAGGCCCACGATGCCATGATCTCATACCTTCTCTGAATTCCCATGTACTTCACAGCACACGACTGCGCACCTGATTATCTCTCTCCTCATCGTGTTTTTTAAATGTTTTTCCGTGTCTCATCTTCCCAGCTAGACTAAAAATTCCCTGTGGTGAGGGACTTTGTATTTTCTAAAATCTCTACTCACCTTACCCCATCCCAGAGCAGTGCTGGCCACACTGGCCACACAGCGGGCAGCTGACACATATCAAATATTTATTTATTTATTTTTGAAAAAGAGAGAGAGAGAGAGAGAAGACAAGCAGGGGAGGGGCACAGAGAGAGGGACACAGAGAATCTGAAGCAGGCTCCAGGCTCTGAGCTTTCAGCACAGACCCCAACACGGGGCTCGAACTCACAAACTGTAAGATCATGACCTGAGCTGAAGTCAGATGCTTAACCTACTGAGCCACCCAGGCGCCCCAACTGATACTTCTAAATTAAAGCACTTTTCCTCCAGTCCACTCCCCAGCATTCTAAATCC